AGATTATCTCCCAAGACCTGTTAAACAGACTTCTTCCTGAGGCGGAAAACTTCCTCCCAGAATTTCAATGTTGCTTTATACCACCACATGGCACCACTGACATGATCTTTGCTGCTCGCCAGATACAGGAAAAGTACGGAGCTTCATGACCTGCACATAGCTTTCATTGCCCTAACTAAGACCTTCGACTCGGTCAACATTTAAGCCTTTTGGTGGACCCTCAGCTGTTTTGACTGTCCACCAAAATTTTTCGTCATTGTGAGGCAACTCCACGATGGCATGAACGGCAGTGTCCAGTACAAGGGCTCCCGGTTTGAATTCTTTCCCATTCAAACGGGGTTTAAGGAAGGGTATGTACTGGAACCAACTCTCTGATCCATTTTCTTGGCTGCCTTCCTTACTCGTGCCAGTGCCAATTTAGTCATCGCGGTGGAAATCGAGTACCAGGTTTAGGGCCTTTTCACTATATGATGACTCCAGGCAGGAATGAAGGTGTTGGCATCTTTCATTCCTGAACTTCAGTATGCAGATGACCTCACCCTTGTCGCTCACACTGAACGCAACCTACAAGAGATTATGAACAACTACGCAGATGAGTATGCACACTCTGGCCTTGAGGTGAATGTACGTATGTCTCAGATTATCTTTCAGCCTGCCCCTGGTTCAGGCACACCCCCACCATCCATCCAGCTTAACGGTACTACCCTCTCTAATGATACCCACTTTTTGTATCTTGGCTCACACCTGTCCACCACCGCAACATCGATAAAGAGATTCATCATCTGATCAGATGTGTATCTCAAGCCTTTGACAGACTCCAAAACCGTGTATTCAGCTGTAGAGAGCTGAAATTATCTACAAAGTTACACGCATATCGAGCAGTGGTCCTCCTTACCCTGCTATATGGCAGCGAGACATGGATCACATACAGGAGGCACCTCAAGGCACTTGAAAACTTTCACCAGCGTAGTCTATGTTCCATCCTCCGAGTTCGTTGGGAAGACAAGAGAACATATGTCAGTATTCTTGCTCACACCAACTGTAGGAGCATCGAGGATACCTTTATCTATAAACAACTATGCTGGACCGGCCACGTTACCCACATGGACGACAGTAGACTTCCAAAGCAGCTACTTTACAGTCACCTAACGAATAGTAAATGTAACGCTGGCGGGCAACTACAAAGGTTTATGGATAGCTTTAAGACAAGCCTGCAAAAAATGCCAAATCGACCCACTCACCTTGGAGACAATATCTCCACATCGTTACGCTTGGAAGAGCGCCACGTTAGAAGGTGTCAATAATTTTGAGTTAACCCGACTGCAAACCGAGGCAGACAAGTGCCAACCTCCGGAAAGACGCTGCCGCCGCCCCTCCCACATTAGATGTCCTCCACATATGCAACATTCATGAACAACTCTGCCGATAGAGGTCGCGATGCTATTCTCTGCACTTTTCCTGAATCTGACGGGCAGTAAAGATCACATCAGAGATGCCAAGTGATGGGCTAAAGCCACACTGAGCTTATGGGAGGAAATTTTCCACCTCAGAAAGAAATCTGTTTAGGAACTCGAGCATAGTCTTGCTAACTATGGACAGCAGCGACATCCCTCAGTAGTTGCCACATTCTGACAGGTCTCCCTTGTGTTTATGAATATTGACGATGGAGCTTTAAGAGCATGGGGGATTTCCTCCTTTTCCCATATATTCTCTGTAGATATATGAGACGAATATGGCTGTAATATGTAACTGTACTATTTACCATTATTGTTTCAGGTCTCTGTATTATATGTTATAATCATACTCCCTTTTGTCACTGAATGTTAGTTCATGTTTTAGGCACATGCGCTGTACGCGTGATGCCAGATAAGAGATCTCAGAGAGATTCCAAGACAGGACGCTGTTTCCCCTGTCTTAACTCCTTTTGTGTTTGTCCCAGAAATAGAACTTACGAACTTGACACCAGTGTGTTTCCTTCACCCCTGATTGGAAGTATCACCTGGGTCTCCCACATTCTCCAGGAGAGAGTGGAGACGGCTTGTAAGCAGAGGTCCTCCTGCTTCATACACCTCAGCTGGGATTCCATCAGGCCCTGAGTCTTTGTTATTTTTCATCTGTTTGATGGAAGTATCTACCTCAACCAGGGATGGATGATGGCTGAAGTGGGTCAGCTCTGGAAGGTAAAGGGCTTGCTGGGTAGTCAGGGCATCCACATCGGTGTTTCGGTTGAGCAATGAATGGTAGTGCTTTTTCTAGAAATGAAGGTGGCCTTCATCATCTTTAATTATGGAGTTACCGTCGGATGAGCAGAGGGAGGCTGCACCACGAGTGATTGCCAATAAAATGTTTTAGTGGAATTGAAAATTTCGTGCATCTTGAGCTGTTCTGCAAATTTTTGTGTTTCACATGCCTTATTTTTCAACCATTCATTCTTTAGATTGCAAAGTTCCCACTGGGCCGCCTCTTTCTTATTGAGGAAGCTATCAGCTTTGGTTCCAGACCGAGGGTTCGACGCGTACATTGATATCCGGGTCATTTTCATCAACCAGTCCTCTGTATAATCTTTCTATCTGGCTAAGGGTCTCTCTGCATGTTTTTTTTCGTGACAGTTTCGAAAATATCCCATTTGGCACTGCGATTTGGGTTATTTCTTGTTGGGCTGTTTATCATCCCATGTTCGAGCAGCTCTTAAAAGCATGTGCTACCGCTGGATCTTCTAGACGCTTAGTGCTAAAACCTCTTTTGGAGGCTTGTTGCCTTTGCCGTTTTGGGGTGACGAGAAGTGAGAGCTTTGCTCTGGCTAGCCGATGATCAGCGTTGCAGTGGTCTTAGCCACGCATGGCACGGGTGATAAGAACATCTCGGCGATCTTTTTCTGACAATGATGTAGTCAATGAGATGCCAGTTTTTGGATCGTGGGTGTTGCCATGAACCCTTAAACTTTCTGCCTTCCTGAACTAGGTATAGGTGATAATGAAGTTGTGTGCAGCACACTTGATGAGGAGGAGGTAGCCGTTGGGATTACACTTGCCTAGTCCATTTCTCCCTATGGTTCCAAGCCTAATGTCAGTATCTCTGCCAGTTCTGGCATTGAAGTCACCAAGGAGCACAACTTTATCTTCTCTGGGATAAAGGTTAACACTGTCAAGGTCTGCACAAAAGGCCTCTTTATGGCATACTCCGCATCCAGTGTTGGGGCGCATGCACTGATGAAAAAGGCTTGACGTGAGTGATTCAGTGGGACTCGGAGTGTTTTGAGTAGCTCGTTGATCTCAATAGGCATTTAGTTAGCCTGTTTAGGATGCTTTATCTGATGGCAAAGCCAACTCCATAAATGCAGGTTCTCTTCGCATCAGGCTTACTCTTCCAGAATAGCCAGATTCCAGTTCTGTGAGTTGACCCTCATCTGGAAACCGGGACTCACTAATGGCTGCTATGTCGATGTTATTCCAAGCCTTCTATTTTGCCACAAGAGCGGTTCTTCTTTCAGGACGATCATTTGCGCCAGTAAACAGAAGGGTCTTGACATTCCATATAGCGATCATAAGAGGTTGTATAGTTTGTTTTTGTTTGGATCTGTGCTTATGATTGTGTTTTCGACCGCATAAGGATGACCTTAATGGGTGCGGTTGCCCAGTCAGGTTGTTTTTTTTAGCCGGCTATGTTTAGGGCACCTTTTCGCCCTCTCCATGTGGGGTGAGAAGAGTGGCTCTACCCACACATACACACACACACACACACACACACACACCGCCACCACCACCATCACCACCCAACCTTCATCATCAGACCTCCAGTACCATCTCTCCTCCTTGCAAACACCACATCCAGCACCACTACCACCACCCCTCTCCACTACCACCATTCCCACCACCCCTCACACACCACCGCCATCACCACCACGACCACCACCGCTGGCATCAACATCACTATCACCACCATCATCACCATCATCACCACCACCACGACCATTATTACCATCACCACCACCATCACTATCAACACCATCCCCAACCATTACCACCATCATCACTCATCACCCCCCCCACCTCCTATGACCAGCCACTGTGTGCATAAAACGATCTCACCTTAAGAAAATGTTCTCCAACTTAAAAGAGAAAATTAGTTTCGTTTTATTAATGGTGGAAATTTACCTGGCAACCCTAGACCAAGATTGGTTTGTTATTTATGGACGGCTATTAGGTTTCCTCTACCTACAGTTTCTTGACCTGGTTGTTGTTGTTGTTGTACCAGTAGTGGTTATATTATTATTAGTAGCTGTCAGGGGTTTATTATATTAATTGTTATTGTTATTGTTATTGTTATTGTTATTGTTATTGTTATTGTTATTGTTATTGTTGTTGCTGTTGTTGTTGTTGTTGTTGCTGTTGTTGTTGTTGTTGTTGTTGTTGTTGTTGTTATTATTATCATTATTATTATTGTTTTGTTATTGTTATTGTTATTATTATTATTATTTTATTATTTTATTATTATTATTATTATTAATATTATTATTATTATTATTATTATTATTATTATTATTATTATTATTATTATTATTATTATTATTATTAATGTAATAAAGTTATGCTTCACTTGTACACTTGAACCCATGTCTTCTCTATTGTTGTGTGTCATGTTTCTTATCATTGGGTTTTGTTTTATTTGGGGTTATATTATATTAGTAATTTTCATTGTTCCCTTCACTTACTAAACTATTCTTTTGTTCTCTTCCAGATGCCATAATACCCTTGGCCAGTTATATGAACAATAAAGCCTAGAAAAAGGTCGACTCTAGTCTTATTTTACCACAATTTATTGTTCATAATTTAAACCGAGTCATAATGGAGAAGTTCACTAACGACAAATCTGTTTTCTCTGCAACTTCGATTGATTTGCTGGGCCACACCATATCGTATGGCACTCTTAAGCCAGACGCCGATCGCTTGTGTCCTCTGAAGGAATAGCCACTTCCAAAAGACTTACCTGCTCTACGACGCATGATAGGACTCATTTCATACTACTCTCAGTGGATCTTGCACTTTTCCGACAAGGTCAGACCTTTGGTCAAGGCTCATCCATTCCCTCTGCAAGAGAAGCAATCTCTGCCTTCGCAAATCTTAAAAAGGAAATAGCAAGTGCGGTAGTCAGCTCGATTGACGAGACGATTCCATTCGTAGTAGAAACCGACTCTTCTGACTCTTCCGTCGCTGCCTCCCTGAACCAAGTTGCATTCTTCTCGAGAACACTCTCAGAAAGTGAGTGCAGATACTGTTCTGTCGAAAGTCGAAAACGAGGCCTACGCTATCGTTGAAGCAGTAAGGAAATGGAAAAATTTCCTGTCTGACAGACACTTTACTCTCATCACCGATTAGCGATCTGTGTCCTTTATGTTCCACTCCAAGAAGCTGGGAAATATCAAGAACGACAAGATCCAACGATGGCGGGTCGAACGAGCCTGCTTCGACTACGACATTGTCTATCAGCCAGGGACTGAAAACTCAACTGCTGATGCTCTATCGAGAGCCTTCTGTTCGGCTACCAACCACAAAACGCTGTCGGATCTCCATCAGCAGCTATGTCGTCCAGGAGTCACAAGGATGGCTCACTTCATCCACATTCGCAACTTACCATATTCTGTAGATGTCGTCAAGAAAGTATGTGCTGAGTGCTCTACCTGTGCCAAGCTTAAACCTTAGTTCTACAAACCAGACACAACCGCCCTCATCAAAGCTACTCAACCTTATGAACGGTTAAACATCCACCGATTTCAAGGGTCCCTTGCCGTCGACTTCCCGAAATCGATACCTACTAACCGTGGTTGACGAGCATTCACGATTCCCCTTCGCGTTTGCATGCAAAGACATGACCGCGGCAACAGTCATCAAGTGTCTGCGTCAGTTATTCGCTATATTCGGCATGCCTGCTTAAGTCAACTCGGATCATGGCACCTCCTTCATGAGCTGAGAGATGAGTGATTTCCTCACTATTTACGGCGTGTCTACCAGCCGAACCACCCCATGCAACCCTAGAGGAAATGGTCAGTGCAAGCGCTACAACGAAATAATATGGAAAACCATTACACTCGCTCTTAAGTCCAAGAACATCGCAGAAGCTAATTAGGAATCTGTGTTACCTAACTCACTTCATTCTATTTGTACTGTATTATGTACTGCCATCAACAAGACGCCTGTTCAACTTCCAACGCCGATCAACCCGTGGTAGTTCGATGCCAACCTGGCTCTCCTCTCATGGACCAGTCTTGCTACGAATACATGTCAGGACAGTAAGTACGACCCTCTGGTTGATGAGGTTGAGCTTCTGGAAACCAACCCACAATACGCCCACATTCGGTTCCCCGATGGACGACAGTCTACCTTCACTCCAAGATCTGGCCCCTGCTGGACAAGCTGTTCCAGATACTGCCGATCCCGAACCTGAACCGACTGAGTTACCTAAGGCATCTACCTCGGTGCCCCTTGAACCTACACCCGACACTCCAGTGGCTGAATCTCCTGTCAGGGGCGACCCTTCAAGTGAAGCTCCTCTGCATGAAGCTGTTTTGACAGATTCGCCAGTGATTCCTCGTCGATGGGGTCGTGTACATCGGATGCCTGATTTTACAATTGTCCTGATGTCTAATTCAGCAAGATGGGTAGAATGTAATAAAGTTATGCTACACTTGTACACTTGAACCCATGTTTTCTCTATTGTTGTGTGTGTATATACATATGTCATGTTTCTTATCATTGGGTTTTGTTTTATTTGGGGTTATATTTATTAGTAATTTTCATTGTTCCCTTCACTTACTAGACTATTCTTTTGTTCTCTTGCAGATGCCATACTACCCATGGTCAGTTATATGAACAATAAAGCCCAGAAAAAGGTCAACTCTACTCTTCTTCATTCCACAATTATTATTATTTTTATTATTATTATTATTATTATTATTATTATTATTATTAATATTAATGATAATAATAATAATAATATTATTATTATTACTATTATTATTATTATTATTATTATTATTATTATTATTATTATTATTATTATTATTATTATTATTATTATTATGAGTAGTAGTAGTAGTAGTAGTAGTAGATGGCGTGGAAAAGGGCACTAAAGACTCGAGGAGGTGCTGGCCCTTCAGGTCTGGATGCTGTTACGAACCCCTCCACCCAGCACTACGAACCACGCCATCTATTGTCCTGATCTACCTACCCAGCACCACGAGCAACGCCATCTAGGGACGAGACACGAGTATGACTCGTCTTAGTTACCACTCCGGGGTTTCCCTTCTCCATATCCTGGTTGTTGTGTCACTTCCTCCAAGTCTTCTTTGTGAGCTCCAATTCGAGGAGAGAGAACTTGGCTCTGGGAAGTGACCACAGGATCATCTATCCTCTAAAACTACGTGCAGTGACTACCTACCGTCTTCTACAATAATCAGCCTTACTCGTCAGCCATCTCAGCTCCTCACTTAAGTACTTGTATCTTGTATTGCCTCCCCCACGTCCACTTGCTTCAAGATTGTTTTATGTTTTATTAATATGTATATACTGTTAATGTTTAGGTTAAGTTTGGTTAAGGGTAATTTATAAGCTGAATATTTTGTTTAGGGATTTATGGTACTTTATTATACACAACGAAAACTCGCATCCTTTGTCTACCCTTTTTTAGTCCGATTGTCTTTGTTTTGTTTTTTTTGTTACCTGTTGGGATCTGGGTAGACGTATAACTATATTCTAAATCCCCAACTCGTAACAATGCAAACTGTTGGAAAGTCATCCTCAGCACTGACAAGTTTGGCGCCTTAGCAAGTGATCTCTGCACTGCCATTGCCGTCCTTGCAAGAAAGCTGGCATCCTCGTGCTGTCAACACCCCCATGCTCTAATGGCATGCCGCCTCATTCCCCTGGATAAGGATCCAGGATGTAGGCCTATAGGGGTGAGGGAAGTGCTGAGGCAGATCATCGGAAAATGCATAATGGAGGTGGTAAAGAATGATGTCAAAGCAGCAGCAGGGAACCAGCAAGTTTGTGCTGGCCACCAGGCTGGAGGGGAAGCTGCCATTCACGCAATGAGAACGATATTTGAGCAGCGTGATTGTGAGGCCGTTCTCCTGGTGGACGCTTCAAACGCATTCAACATACTTAACCGCAAGGCCGCACTACACAACATCAAGATCAAGTGTCCAAGCTTTGCAATGTATGTTGAAAATTCCTATAGGAATCCATCAAACCTCTATATAGTATACAACAAGGCTCTAAGAGGTGATACCATCATACAGTCAACCGAGGGAACAACGCAGGGGACCCTGGTGCAATGGCAATGTACGCAATAGGCCTATCCGTGCTCCAACACAGAATAAAATTTGAAACAATTGATGTCAAGCAAGTGGCGTACGCTGACGATCTTACAGGAGCAGGAAAAGTGGAAGACATCAAAAAGTGGTGGGACCTGGTAACATCACGAGGCCCACAAATAGGGTACCACCGAAACGCCAGCAAGTCCTTCCTCATTGTGAAGCCAGAACATTATGAACGGGCAATGGAGGCGTTCAGTGGAAGTGAGATCAAAATAACAATGGATGGCCAAAGACACCTAGGTGCAGTAATCGGCACGATGGACTTCAAGACCGAGTACGTAACGGGATAGGTGAATGAGTGGATTAGGGAAATCCAGGCTCCGTCTCAGATTGCTAACACAGAGCCACATGCGGCTTTTGCGGCCTTCACCCATGGAGTCAAGCATCGCTGGAACTACCTGATGCGCACTATCCCTGATATCGGACCCCTCGTCCACCCTCTGGAAGAAGCTATTAGTCATTTTCATTCTCAAATTAGTGAAACACCCTCACTTAACCCCAGCAGAAAGATCACTCCTTGCACTACCACCGAGACTGCGAGGAATGGGCTTGACCAATCCAGAGGAGATTGCTGCCACCGAACATCAAAACTCAATTAAGCTCACGGCAGCCCTCACGGACCACATAATAGCTCAGAAGGCAACAGGTAAGGTGGATACCAGTGAAGTAAACAAGATTCGAAGGTCCATTACGACAGAACGACAGCACGGCCTAAGTGATAAGCTGCAGATATTTTGAAAATAAGTAGCGAGAGCACAGGAGGTGGGTGCCTTGAACTGGTTAACTACGTTACCGATTAGGGCAAATGGTTTCAGTCTCAATAAACAAGAATTTACAGATGCCAATGCTCTAAGGAATGGTAGGCCAGTAGAAGGCTTGCCCTCCCAATGCATGTGTGGCTCTTCCTATGACGTCGATCACGCCATTGTGTGCAAGAATGGGTGCTACATTTGCATGAGGCATGACGAAGTAAGAGGTCTCACAGCGAATATGTTTCAAGAAACCTGCTGTGAGGTCAGGGTAGAACCGACCCTCCTTCCATTGGACGGTGAGAATTTCCAATATAGGACTTCAAACACATCCAACGAAGCCTGTGTTGACGTCAGTGCTCGAGGATTCTGGACCCGGGTACAGCGAGCCTTCTTTGACTCAGGATTTTTGATCCCATGGTCGCATGTCACCATAACTTAGCTCTCGCTGCTGCACACAGGAGGAACGAAAACGACAAGATAAGGGAATACGGGGAGAGAATTCAGAACGTTGATCAAGGCAGCTTCACTCCTCTGGTGTTTACAACCTCTGGTGGGATGGGACCAAGTGCAAGATGCTTCTACGCCAGACTCGCGGATGTGCTATCTGAACAGAAGGAGCAGCCCAGAAGTTTTGTTACAGCCTGGATGAGATGTCGACTGTCCTTCTCTCTCCTTAGGCTGGCTTTGCTCTGCCTCAATGGAACGAGAGCATGGGCCCCAAAGCCGACAACAGTTGCAGATATTGACTATGAGGCAACAGTCACTGAATGCCGCATAGATCTGCAGCTCAACTAACTCAACAAAGCTAGGATAGCTACTTATGTATTAGGATATTTAATTTTAAGGTAATAAAATGGCGGCAAAGGAGTGACTATTGGGGGAGGCTGGAGGCGAAGTTTAAAAAAAAAGTAATAGTAGTAGTAATGGAACTTGACAGTTGAGGAAGTTGAGGAAGTTGAGGAAGTTGAGGAAGTAAAGGTGGTTGAGTACAGTGTCGGCCAGGCTGCCTCCTGTGTAATAATAATAATAAACGGTTTATTAATAGAGTTGCAGCCGGTGGCTGAAAATATACAAACTTACATTTGATTTAGACATAATGATATGCGTTGAATACATTTATAGGGCTGTACAGTCAATAAATCAGGAGTTGTTTATTATTTTAACAATAGATGGGAGTGTGCTATTTTTATATCTATCAGTGAGGGCTCTGATGGGCTGAATTTTGTTGTAGTGGCGGACTGAGCGAGGTGGGCGGAGGACTGCCGGTGGCAGGAGGTGGCGATGACGAGGATGGTGCAGTAGTCCACTGCCAAACCTTGCTAGTGCTTGGTGGTGGAGGTCACTGAGGGATGGCATTTCCAGGGTGGAGAGAGCGTTGTTGTAGCCAGAGTAGTCTGCACCGAGCATGATTCTGCAGGCCCTTTTCTGTACCTTCTCCAGCTGAAGTTGTTGGGTAGAGTTGAGAGAAGACGACCAGGCTGGTGATGCATACGTTAGTTTGGGGAGAATAAAGGCGTTGTAGATAGTCCTCAGCTCTGGCGTAGGTGCACCAAGTGACTTAAGTTGTCGTAGCATATAGAGCCGGTACGAGGCTCCCTTGATTGTGTTGTTTACATGGGCCTTCCAGTCCAGTTTGTGGTCTATGGTAACACCCAGGAGTTTGGCAGACTGCACTAACTGGAGAGGATGGGCACCAACTGTGACTGCTGGAGCTTGCACTGGAGTGGTGGCGGTATTTATGTGCATGACTACAGTTTTGGTGTGGTTGGTGGTGACCTTGTTCTCTGTAGTCCATGCCTGTAACCTGT